CCGTCATAAGCAGCTACGGCTCACTCCACAGGACGTTCCTCGCCAGCTGTCAAGATGACATCTTGCGCCAGCGGCCGACCGTGGCGACACCTGGACGGTGTTTCACGGCACTGCGCTGCAGCGCGCTGCGCGCAGCGGTGTATTGGGTCTCTATGGAAACATTAACAAACTCGCACGCTTGCAACACTGGAACGTCGAGACGAATTCCTCTCAAACGCCGCACCAATGCATCAATGCACCAGGGGTCATTTTGACCCCTCCAAAGTAGTGCCTTTAGGGCGTATTAGTACTCGGAAAAAAGAGTCGCCAGGCGAGTCATCCACCTAGACGGTATTGGATATATAAACCCCAATAATGATAAGGGTTAGGCGAGTCATCCACTGCACTGACCTGACTGAGAGTCATCCTACTCTGTCGAAAATCATCGCCAGGCGAGTCACTCGCCTAATCCTAGTTTACTAACTCGGATAGGGATGGTAGCAAAAGCGAGTCATTTTATTCCGGGTCATAAAGCGCTGAAAAGGGTTGTACTTTTTGTCCAGGCAGTTTGACTCCGGGGGAAAGTGAACTCGCTTTTAAGGAGTAAATCTTTTTTCTCAGTGCATGTATGAAAACTGGACAATTGGTGGCCCGCCTGGTGCAAGGTATGCTGCCACAGAGAGTGGCTGGTTTGACATGAAAACCTTCGAAAGATGGTTTTTTAGATCTACATGCCTGCAGCAAAACAAAGAACTGGCAGGCATGTACTAGCGGGTGACATCCTGAGGTCCCACCTATCTGTGGATGTTGTCAAAGCCAGCAAGGAACATGGAATACGGTTTGTCACACTGCTACCAAATGCCACCCATCTCCTGCAGCCACTTGACGTGGCATTCTTCCGGCCGGCAAAGAGCGAGTGGTGAAAAAATCCTGACAACCTGGAAACGAGACTAGAGTGAAGGAAGGCATCCCAAAAATAGTCTTCCCTTCCTTGATCAACCAGCTGATCCAAACAATCACCAGGCCAAAGGATGCTGCAAGGCAGAGCTGTGAAGAGAGAGTATCCACAAACCTGGTGGCTGGCTTCCAGGCCACAGGACTGGCTCCAGGACCGCCAGAGAGTGCTTCAGAAAATGCGATAAATTAGGACAACTTTCAGATCGCAATTTGACCGATAAAATGAAGTGCGAGTGGATATTTGAAGGTGTACACTTCATTAACTGTTCTTTCCTGGCTTTCAGAATGAATTTTGAATTGATCGTTGTGTTTTCAAGCATGGAGGAAGAGAAAAGGGCCGCCATTGTCGTTGGGCTCCGCGCCGGGAGGACCGCTGGGGAGATAGCAGAGTTGTAACAAATGTAAAAAGTAAATAAACAATTTCTTCTTCTGTGATAGTCTGTTTTGGGGCCTCTTGTTCGAGCCGTATAACCAACACGGTTTTCTTTTCTTCAAGTATGTATTGCAAATTTGACGATTGAATACAAAAGTAATAAACAGTCGGCCGAGACTTTGAATAACGATACGTCAGGCCACTACGGCGGTTGGCTTTCGAATGAATCTTTCACAGCTCCTGCTCGGCGTTCGGCGTCGGCCGCTATATTCAAACGTCATACACACACGTCATACATATAGATGTACGTCATATCATAGCACCAATCAGAAGCGGGCGAGGACAGGCGTCGCAGGTGAGGAGTGAGGACCATATAAGGATATTGTAAGTGGGCGAGGGGGTTGGGCAGTAAGTAGGTACAGAGGGAAGTGGAGGACGGGGTAGGAACGAATTTCGTTACAACACAACGCGAGGTCCTTAAAGCTGAAATTTTGACCAAAATTTTCGGCTTGGGATACTCCTAATATGATGCATGATATAACGTACACAACACACGACACAACACAAACAACGCCTAACACAACAATATACACAGCACCTCAACACACAATTTCCCGTTCTTTTTCGTTGTAGTCCTCGTAGCTATAAGTCTATAGAGTCTTCTTCATTGTCCGCTTACGAAACATAGTCTACTGTCCCACTCGTGCTCATCGATTCGGTTCTCGCTTCGCAATCACTGATAAGATTCCGCTCCGGGCACATCAGTTCAGGGAGTTCAGAGAGTTCAGAGGGTTTAGGTCACCTTTGACGCTGCTGTCTGACACGTGTTTGTCAGTCCATTGTCCATTGACACCAGATCGTGTGTCAGGTGTCGACACGCTGTCGCCAGATGATGTGTCAGATATTGACACATTGACGTTCTCACGTCTCGCGTCTTGTTGTGGGTCGTCCGTCGGGTGTCGGGCTGACCAGACCACGCGTCAGCGTAGTTTTATCGGGGCGCCCGGACGTGGGGTGTCCGATGCGGGGCGGCCCGATCTCAGTGGCGCTGACTAGCACCGGCGGCGGCTCGACCGAGTGTGGGAGCGCCGCTACTGGTACACCTCTGCTGCGGAGAAAGAACTCCTCTGGAAAATATTTGCATCAGGCATCTGCGGATTTCTGAGAAGCGAGGGTCGGAGACGGTTTTAACCATTGTAAGCACGAGGGACTTGGGTCCGTGAGTTTCTCCCGGGGCTTGATATTTGGAGCTACACTTGACGTTTCTTCAACAATAACACTGTCAGGGGCAGTGTCAGAAAAGTGGTTTGGGGATCTAAGTTCGCAGACTAAAATTTTGAAAAGGTCGCAGAACAAAGTTGGAACTTAGCTATGGTTCCAAATTTTTCATGAAGCTACTGCATTATATCAGTTTCTTTTTAGCATAATGGGTAGAGATTGTTGAAATGCAGCACATATCAAAGTGAAACACCTGCACATGACAACATGCAATGGTAATCATTAAGCAGGCACCTCACGAGATGCCAGATCTGTCTACGATAGCAATGTAGGCTGTAGGTTGTAGGTGTTAGGCTTGTAGGTTGTAGGCTAGTAGGTAAGGTTAGGTCAGGTTAGATTATGTTTCAGATCTGGCATCTCGTGAGACGCCTGCTTAATGAATCCCCATGCAATCTTGTATCTACTAAATAGGCAGGTACCTAGCCTACATTGCCATTGCTCAAGTATAATGATGCATACCTATATAAATATCAATATTCACATTTGCCTAATTTTAACAAGGGAAATCCAAGAACATATCATAACTAAATGCAAGAAAACAATATGAACCCACCAGAAGGCTACTAATGTGAAAGCAGCTACCCTTGGATATCACTTTCTTAGCCTAGGTAGAAGTGAAGGTATAATCAAGAAGGGGAGAAGTTAAGACAAACTGAAACACATGGTTTATGTTAAGTATTACCATTACCTGAGCTTGTTACAAAAATAGAAATGAACAATCCCACCTCAGATTCCTTGAACGAAGATGGTCGAAGTCGAATGAGTCTCAGTATCTCAGCCTTTAAACAAAAATCATATTGTTGAGTATCAAAAAACGAGAATATTGCACATAAACATCTAACTATTAAATTACCCCACGAAATTATGCTTCTTTACAATAACTCACGCAAATTTCTAGACTAACCCGGCGCAGTCGCGTAAAAGCGCGGGAGACGCGCGCCAGACAGCGCTGCCTAGTCTGAGAATGTATTTATTTTTTAAAAAGTATTTGTTGCTAGTTAAGTTCATTGCCGAACGACAAAAACGATTTTGATGTTCAATTTATTTTAATACAAAATTTAATGAATAATATGCAGCACAAAATAATGCCTTCGGTCGATTTATTACAAGTTAAGATATCTTACTGCCATGAGTTCGAGAAAAATAAAAAAAGTCATTTTTTGTGTAATTTAGATGGGAAAAGGGCATCAAAAAGCCAATAACTGTTTATTTTGTTCATTTTAATATCATTCACAAAAATTTTGCCATAAATTCGTCCAAGTTCTCTTATGCCGGCACCAAAAAGGTGATACCTCAAAAGACGCTGTCACTTATTATCCCCATACGCATTTTTTGCTCATTTTTACGAAACAAAAACTATTCTATAACTTTTTCCAATCAATTTCCATTCTAGCCATACCTTGTTTTGCAATGAATGATGTCTAGGTGTCTTAAACGATCCAAGTGAAGCTGACCTTAGCAGGCACGGAACGACCCCGCAGACTATCGTAAAATATGGGCATCACACGTTATAAAATTGCTAAATTTTGACATTTTTGAAAAGAAAAATCTTTTTTACATCTACTGATATCATTTTTTCATGCTTTACTGCAACTGGGAACTTTTACCAGGGGATAGTCTGCCACCACGGAAACACCAAATATGTTCGAGAACTCAGAAAAAGTTTGCGCCCGGTTGCGTTATGAAGGGAGCCGGGCGGGGAGCGAGCTTGTTGGTGCGGCGATGGCAGTGTTTTAGACGTCAAAAGGCCAAGGCTTATGACTCGTCTCCCATGACTCGCGTGTTATTTTTGTGATTTGTTTGGTACCTTCGTTTGATTTGTGTGAGAATGTGTTAGGTATATATTAGGTAGGATAGGTTGTGCAGATATATGTATTATGGGTAATATGCTTATCCAGTACCCATAATTTTCTGATAGCATTTAGGTACTACTCACTAGCTTGGTATATGTGTCATTTCTCAGAACAGTGTACATGTAAATTAATCAAGCTGAGCTTTTCAGGTTTATCTCACCTGACTACGTAAAGTTTCCATATCCATTTGGGGCATTGCCCATTTACTACTCACTAGCTTGGTAGTGTTGTTTCTCAGACCAGTGTACGTGTAAATTAATCAAGCCTTTCAGGTTTATCTCACCTGATTACAATTACGTTAAGTTTGCATATCCATTGGGGCATTGCCCATTTCCAGCTCCTGCATGCTGTGTAGTCCTTCATTCATATCATACGTGTTGAACCAGATGTTAAAAGAGTGACAAAATTTTCAATATTTGTATTATAAAATACAGGATTAATTGTTAATGCACACACTGTGTGATCACAATTCACAGATCACCTGTTCATAACACATCACAGTTTATGGGCTTCAGGCTGCCGATCAAATACCAGTTATATCTATCAATCTAATACCAGTGAAAGTTTTGCCAACAGCTGTCAGCTGGTGAACCAAGAGTAGCAGGCGGTGCTGGTTCTTGGGAGTAGGTCAGTAGTTTGTACTGCATTCTATTCAGGAGTCCAGGTCTTCATTCAGTAGCCATGGAGACTGGAGAGAGATGACAATCTGCTGAAGAAGAAAAATCAGTCAAAATGGGTAGGCAGTTGGGTTTTTATTAAGTGACCCATTGTGAAATGCTCCATCAAGCCTGATAATGCTGACATAGATGGGTAGAGGTACTTTGTTGCACAAAAATCATCGGTTTAGGGAACGTTTGCTCACAGAACAAAAATTGCTTTTCTTTAGTCAAGACTTTTCGCAGAACAAATCTTCCGAGTTCAAGAAAACTTAGAAACGGGCCACTTTTCTGACACTGACGGGCAGGATTTTGAGCGGATACTTTCTGGGGTCGGATCATAATGGGTTTAAACACATGACATCGGACGTATAGAACAGTAAATAGCACTAACGCAACCACAATACACGTTGTGACCGAGATGGCGGGGATAACGACAGTTTTATTATGCTGAGCATTTCGTACTCGAATCTGCTGAATATGTTTCTTCAAGTTAGACAAATGGACACTTTTGTCCTGAAGTGGGGGAATGAAGTTTACTGCTTCGGGGAGTGAAACATTAGTTTCCGAAAGATCAACAAGTACATTTGACCAAGTATCTATTACAATGTCAATAACTTTTACGCTCTGGTTAAACTTAGCAAAAAGCTGAATTGCCTGGTCACTTCGCAATTGTTGGCGGTGCTCTGCAAATATACTACTGACTTTACTTTTAAAGAGCTTCACATGATGCTCCAGCTTCAATACAAACGTCCATGATGTCCTGGTTTCGATGGGGATGTGAAGAGTCCAGTGGTCGTATGAAGCGTAGAGATGGCCTCGGGGCAGGAAGAGAACGTTGGCCGTTGTCGGAGATGTCAGATAGAACAGGAATGTCAGGAAGAACGGTCTTGCCCACATCTCTGGAACACACACAAACAACTATTAACATTTCGCAAACATGAGGTTAGTACACGAACAATTGAACGGTTCACTGACCGAACGTAAAATGAACAACACATACATGGCTGTGGCATACTAGCCAGAGTCGGTATATCATTAAACACAATACAACGTGGTACCGCGATTACGTTGTCTTCGGCATACAAACCGGGATCCATATTCTATATAAACACTATAACACCATACAGCCGTTCAGCCTTCATCGTACTAGCTGGGTTCCACAAAATACTGTAGACATTCGGCTGTCATCCGACCTGTAATAACTCAGGGGGCCGGGGAACCTTTTTACATTTTTTCTAATTGTTTGAACATGTCGGTCATCAACTTCTCATGTGTTTTCAGCATCTTAACTAACAGGGCTTCTTTCACACGTGGGTTAGTACACATTTGCTCCTTTTCAATATGTACACCATCGGCGTCCAATTCGTCTGAATCCGATTCGTGGTCGTGGTCGGCACATTGTAATTTTGAAGGAGGGCTACGCGCTTCTGCATCCATGTCGTTCGACTCTGATTCTGTACGGGTGAGTGGTCTTTTCATAGGGGTAGGTTCAACTTCGAATGGATCAGATAACTTTTCCGTTCTCAGGCGCTTTGCTAATTGGGACAAAGGAATATTCTCGTCGTCAGAACTATTGTCTTTCAATTTTTCTTCTCTCCATCGTTTTCGCATTTCGGATAACGGCACGTCAAGATCTGCATCGGAATCAGAATCTTCAGGTAAAGGTGGGTAATTTTGTTCACTCGTCGACGGTTTCGCTGGAGCGTAAGTTTCAACAGGGGTTGATATCGAACTGGGGATTGAATCACGAATAGACCGATCTGTGACTGTTTCAGTATTATGCATTTCTGTATCAGCGAATGAGAACTTTGATTGACGTGGAGGCTGCACACGAAGTGGAACCGGGATAAACGACTTCTGTTTTCTTTCGTACTTGCTGTTGATATGATGGGGTTCTTCTGTCACGTTTTCCCAAAGGGTATCTGGATCAGCGAATCTCAAATTATGAACGTTCACTACTTTGACATCGCCAGACAGCTGGTTCTTAATGACAAAGGTTACGTCGTTGATGGCTTTGATAACGCGGTAAAAAGGTTTCCAATGGCACGACAGTTTGGAAGCATTTTGAGTCGCCTCTGTAGGGTTTCTGAAATAAACCATATCACCGACTTTGATTTTCGTTGGCTTGGCGGTACGATCGTAATAAAATTTGTTTCTCTCATGACTTTGTACTAGGTTGTGACGCACATGACTGTAGGCAGAATGCATGTTTTCGAGCATGGTAGGTACGTAATCTTCACCTTGGTAACGATATTTTGGAGATAAAATGCTATCGAGTGGTAGAACAGGGTCACGACCGTAAAGAAGGAAGAAAGGGGAATACTTGGTAGTCTCGTTTTTCGCGGTGCGATAAGCAGACAAGATTGAAGGAAGCTTTGTGTCCCAGTCACGTTGAGATTTACTCACTAACTTTGCTAACATGTCGTTCTGAACTCTATTATATCTTTCGCATTTGCCGTTCGATTGCGGGTGGTAAACGGAAGTTCGGATATGTTTAATGTTGCTAAAAGTTGTAATTTGGTCTATGACGGCGTTACAAAACTCTGTACCATTGTCTGAAATCATAATCCTAGGACAAGCATGGCGAGGGATGATATGTTCTAATAAAATTTGGGCAACCGTTTCTGCACTTTTTGATGAGGTAGCGAACGACTCTGGCCATCCAGAAAATAAATCCATGACAGTAATAATGTACCGGTTTCCTTGGAAACTTTCAGGGTACGGACCGGACGTATCTACTGCGATCTGCTCGAAAGGAAACTTGGGGATTGGCATATCTTGCAGAGGGGGTCGCTCGCGTCTGAGTTTGCGCATATTACAGGCGACACATGTTTTTAAATACCGAACAACGTCTCGATATAAACCGGACCAAAAATAACGTGAACGGATCTTGTCGTACGTTTTATCTATACCTAAGTGTCCGCCGAAATAGCCTGAATGAATTTCTTCGATGATCAGTTTCTGTAGGGGCTTGGGAATAACTAACTGCAAACCTGGAAATGAGGGGTATTTGGACGGATCAGAAACTCGATATAGTAGACCGTCTTCCAAAATATAATAACGAGACACTACAGCATGGTTCGAATGATTTGGGTCCTGTAATACTTTGATCAATTGTTGGATCTCGGGATCCTCTCTCTGAAGTAAACCAAGGTCGGGGTGTCCTTGTAAAAACTCTTTGAATTTTTCCTTGGGAGGAGCCTCAGGTAACTCACTTCTTTTCACTTCAGTCTCTACTTGAACGTCAGGCGCTCTATCGGAATCAATCACATTCACACTACACGAAGATTCATTATTTACACCGAATGTGGCTACGCATTCGTCGACATGGCACGGTAATGACTCACTAGTCATTAATCCATTTCCTGGGATATCCGTGTGACAATCCTCTCCTGAGGTGTCCAGTCGCGACAATGCGTCTGCAACTACATTCTGACGTCCACTAATATACTGTATATCACATCCATACTCATCTAATATAATCGCCCAACGTTGAATCCTAGCATTCTTCATTTCAATGGTGAACAGGTGCTTGAGGGGCTGGTGGTCCGTCATAATCGTAACTTTACAACCGAGTAAATAGGGACGGAACTTTTGTACACTATATACAATCGCATAAGCTTCTCGCTCGATAGTAGGCCAGCGTTGCTGGGTTTCGTTGAGCTGATGCGACAAATATTGGATGACTCTTTCACCCAATTCAGTCTCTTGGACTAGCGCAGCACCTATGGCGTTTTGTGACGCGTCAGTATATAACTTGTACGGCTTATCCACGTTCGGATATGCCAAAATTGGTGCAACTGTTAAAGCTGAACGAAGAGTTTCAAACGAAGACTGACATGCATCATCCCAATAAAAACGACGATTTTTCTTTGTTAGTTCTGTCAATGGTTTGGCTATCCTTGCAAAATTTGGAACGAATCGCCTGTAGAATCCACACATACCAAGGAATGATCTGACGCCTTTGACATTTGTCGGAGGACGGAGATTTTGTATTGCACTTATTTTCTCGGGATCCGGTTTGATACCAGATGGAGTAACTACATGGCCTAGGTATTTTACTTCTTGTTTCAAAAACTCACATTTTGACATCTTCAATTTCAAGCCAGCGTCTCTCAAACGTGAAAAGACTGCATCTATATGTTCTAAATGTTCCTCAAAGGTTTTTGAATAAATCAAAATATCATCCAAATACGCAATAGTAAATTTGTGTTGAATGCCCCACAGTACTTTATTCATAAGCTCTGAAAATAGACTGGGTGCATTGACATACCCAAAACATAACTTTTCAAACTCGTATTGACCCATGAAACAAGTGAATGCCGTTTTGGCCTTTGACTCGGGATCCATGGCTATCTGCCAGTACCCACTGCGGAGATCCAAAGAAGTGAAATATTTCGCACCTTCAAGCGAAGCCAAAATGTCGTCTATGCGCGGAAGAGGGTAACTATTTTTGACAACGATCTTGTTCAAAGCACGCAAATCAACACAAAACCGTTTTTGTCCGTCCTTCTTATCTACAATCACAATCGGACTAGACCAGGGACTACGACTAGGGGAAATGATGCCAGCCTGCAACATTTTTTGTATATGCTCTTCTACAAGTTTTCTCTGACTGAAAGGCAACCGGTAAGGTCGCTGTTTAATTGGTGGATGATCACCAGTTTCAATTGTTGCTTTCACTAAATCAGTACAACCTAAATCCAAATCACTTTTTGCAAACAAATCCTCATTTTGGGCCAAGAAGTCTTGTATCTTTTTACGTTGACCTTCGGACACATGTGACAATCGCGCTTTTTGACTTTCGGGGACGTCATCTGACGGTTCACTACACTGGTCACCTTCCTCACTAGCTGTAAATATGCATCCTTCCGGGTCTTGTAAAACTTCCGCAATGCCAATGACTGATCGAGAAGGCAAAACGTAATCCCTACCAGTGGCGTTCACTATCACGACTGTAATACGCTTGTTGTTGTCTACGTGACCTACACTTTCAACCAAACACAAACCAGGTTCTTCTCCTAGAACGGGTGCATTGCTCAAAGGTTGTACTATGCAATCTTGATCTAGCAATTGAACACGGTTGACTAACGCGGGAATCTCTATATACGACTGAGCAGGAATTGTAACTTTGTGAGGCACTCGAACCAAAGATGTCGTCGTTTGGCAAGTCAGACGTTGCGGTCGCAGAGGGATGACGTTACCGTTGAGGTTCATCGTCTTTTGTCCAAAATCCAATTGAACACCGAATGCGGAGAGAAAGTCGTTGCCTAGGATACAGTCGTTTTTCAGACCTTCTACGATTTGGAATTTGAACGGTTGATTAAATCCTGCAATTTTGACTTGTAGTACGGCCGTTCCGAAGTTTGTGAGTCTATGACCAGAGATAGAACGAATAGGAACGCAGTTCCTCGTAGAAAAACCCTTGATTTTCCTGCACTGAATTTTATCAAAAGCTTCACGTGAAATAAGGGATATGTCCGCTCCTGAATCTACTAACGAATAGGCTTTTTGGTCGCTCAGAGATACATAGCACATCGGCGTATCAGGTTTGATTCTAATTTGTGCTGCTTGCGGTCCAGGTTTCTTTGTAGAAACTTTCCGTTTCGGACCGTCTTTCTTTGGCGCGTTTCTGGTCGCTATTTTTCGAGACGCGCGTTCGCGTTTCCCTGGGTACTTTGGGGAGGAGGACGGGTGGAGTTGCGTCGGCACGTACGGCGTACATGTCCAGGTGTGCCACAAGCGATGCAGATGGGGGATCCATCTTCGGTCCACTGGTAGTTCGGTCTGGGAGTCTGAGGGACTTGAGGGGGAGTTTGTACGTTGCCATAGTACGACATCAGCGGGGGTGGAACATCAAAGCGGACTTGCGGGGGAGCTGTCGGGGGAACGTTGAAGTAAGTCGGTGGGGGAGTAGTCGGAGGTACGTTGAAACGCACCTGCGGTGGGGCGGTCTGAGCACGTTTTTGCGGTTTCAGTTTTTGGATGTCGCGAGACATTCGCTGCACTTGGGAGGTTAGATTCTGAATAGTGGTCCGAAGTTCAGAGTCTGTAGCGGACTGAATACCGCTGCAGTCCATGGGTTCGACGTCGGACTGAGGAGGGGAGTGATGGCGGCAGACTTGGAAAGTCCTGTCGGCCTGCTGCTCACTTTCAGCGAAAGCGAGGGCGTCGTCGAGGTTAGTGAATCTTTTTCTGATCAAGTTTCGCGCCAAGCTGTCGACGCTCACGCCTTTTTGGAACACTTCTACTAGGAAGCGTTGCGCCTCAGGGGCAGAGAGATTTTCGAATGCCTCCGATGCCATTGTCCGCAGCTTTTCAGCAAAATTTTGTACCGACTCACCACGGTTCTGTTTTAGACGTCTGCATTTTTCCGAAGCCAGGTACGGATCAGTCATTTCGCTATACCTTTCCTTTAGTTTGCGTCGGAGTTCCGACCACGTGATTTGGGGGTTTTCTTTTAGCATGCGTGAAGCGTACGCACCAGCGGATCCGTTTAAAGTGATGGTCGCCAAAACACACATACGCTCTGAATCGCAGGTAATAGATATCTGATCCATGTCGTTTAACCATTGGGCGAATTTGGCGGAACCCTCCCCGGAGAATGTTCGGATGTGCTGAGTTAGACCCTGAATACGGAGTTCCTGACAAATGTTTTGGAGCGCTTTGGTGATGACTGCCTCAGACATTTTGAAAACTCTAGTAAGTATAAATCAATCAGCGAATACAAACAAGTGGTGTTTATGGAGCGTTGACAAATAAACAGTTCAGTTGACACACGAAATGCGGAGATAACAGTCACACAATGCAAAAATTACACAAATGTACACAGGCACAATAACAGTGGAACAATCGAAAGTGAAAATGTGGGCGAAGACGTTCAGGGAAAAGAGAGGAAAGAGTGACAGCTTACTGTTCGTAGACTTGTAGAGCAATTTCTTGCGGAACCAATTTCAATTCTTGAGTTTTTTTATTTAGATCCGGGTCACGGCACCATTTGTAACAAATGTAAAAAGTAAATAAACAATTTCTTCTTCTGTGATAGTCTGTTTTGGGGCCTCTTGTTCGAGCCGTATAACCAACACGGTTTTCTTTTCTTCAAGTATGTATTGCAAATTTGACGATTGAATACAAAAGTAATAAACAGTCGGCCGAGACTTTGAATAACGATACGTCAGGCCACTACGGCGGTTGGCTTTCGAATGAATCTTTCACAGCTCCTGCTCGGCGTTCGGCGTCGGCCGCTATATTCAAACGTCATACACACACGTCATACATATAGATGTACGTCATATCATAGCACCAATCAGAAGCGGGCGAGGACAGGCGTCGCAGGTGAGGAGTGAGGACCATATAAGGATATTGTAAGTGGGCGAGGGGGTTGGGCAGTAAGTAGGTACAGAGGGAAGTGGAGGACGGGGTAGGAACGAATTTCGTTACAAGAGTTCAACAAGTTGCCCAGGAGCCTGTGCTATCGAATTAAGAAGGAGTTTGATGAAAGGGTGGCGGGTGGAGAGAACCACGATGAAGTTTCGTTACAAAGGAAGACCCACAAGAGGAGGCGAGATTCCACCAGGACTCCGGAGTTCGTCGAGCAGCTTCAGAACGCGATTGATGAAGATCCTGGCAAATCAATGCGGTGTCTGGCTCGGGAGCTGAACGTGGATGAGAAGACTGTTCGGAAGTGCGTTCATGAAGACATAAGGTACAAGTCCTACGCACTCAAGAGGCATCAATTCATGGATGAGACTACCAAGAAGAGAAGGTCGGACAAGGCGGCTAGGCTGCTGTGCAAGTTGAAGCACCCTCAGGACACGAACAAGCTGATCTTCTTCTCAGATAAGAAGAATTGCTGCCAGGATCAGAAGGTGAACAAGAGAAACGATCATTAGCTATGTTCTGATGCTGAAGAAGTGCCAGTTGTCATGTCAACGAAGTTTACAGCCACGGTGATGGTCTGGGAGTCATCTCCAATGAGGGTGATGTCATGCCGCCTTTCTTCTTCGAGGAAGGGTCAATGCTGATGCGTACATCCACGTGATGGACACAGTCGTGAAGCCATGGATGGAGGGCGTTGCTGGAAACCGTCACTACGTCTTCCAGCAAGACGGAGCACCAGCCCACAACGCCAACAAAACGCAAGCATGGCTGGAGGAAAACGTGAAGGAGTTCTGGCCAAAGGACACCTGGCCCCCAGCTCCCCTGACTGCAACCCCTGCGATTACTTTCTGTGGGGCGTTTGTGAGCGGGAGGTCAACAAACGCCCTCACAACACCAAGGCCTCCCTAAAGACCAAGATCACCGAGGTGATGGCCTCCCTAGACAAGGCCATAGTGGCCAGTGCCTGCAAGCGGTTCCGCAACCGCATCGAGCGTGTCGTGGAGGCTGAGGGGAGATTCATTGAGTGAGGCAGGAAGTGGACATAGCAAGGAGGAAGCGTGAAAAATTTGAAGTCAATACATTGATTTTCGCAGGACTAACCATCCAGCACAAGTTAAATCGACTGTAATCGCTCTACTGGAGTTCTCACGTTTCGTGAGCGTTAGGGAGCCAGACAACAACGCGGCGTGGGATGCAACGCTGCGGAGACTCGAGGTCTGGAAAAGAGACGCAACGCTCAGGGACCATCACCGCCAAGCGGACCTCCAAGATCGCATGGGCGATGAGGAATATTTGCTATCAAAGGAAGAACTGACCTTACTTCGAGTCAAGACACTGGAAGAGCTCGAAAAAAAAAATGCAAAAAAAAACTGTGATTTCTACGAGAGGCGACGCGGTGAAGCTGAGGCGACTTCTAACTACAGCCATTCTGCTCGATAACTTCCAACGATCTGGCACTATCATCAACGCTACGCTGGCCCAGTACCATGACTGTAAGGAGGGCATCATCAGGGTCAAAGAGCATAAGAGCAGGGCATCTTACGGCTCTGCCAACCTAGTGATCACGGATGTAGCGTCATACCTAGACTTCTACGTCGCTCAGGCCAGGTCTTTTTTGACTAAAGATGATCACATGGATGAGCTTTTCCCCTCGTCGGATCCTTGGGAGGATTTGGGTCTTGTGTGTGTCATGTTTGGTGTGAGGAAGTTTAGCCCCACCATTCTCCGAAAGGCTGCGTCAACGGCAGCCTACAGCGACCTCCCGGAGCTGGAACGCCGCCAGATGGCGAATCACATGACTCATCGTCCGGAAACAGCGTTTAAAGGAAATAGTTCACATTTTAACATGGGTTTTGAACTGGAATAGCAGTTCCGTAGCTTGGGATGAGACGAGCATAAATCAGGAGCTTTTACAGCCCAACGATCACCCTAGGCAAAGATATTCTATTTCTCGTCCCGAAAAATGTGTCTTGCGTTGAGGGTGAGTGCCTTGCATATATTCGCATCCAGTATGAAACGAGCATGGGTCCCGAAAATTCTTCAGAAACTATAGAAATTATCTACGAGAACTCTAGAGAAATTCGCTCCAGTGAGGCGCTCCAGTAACAAAAGCACGAGCAGATCGCCCAAATGCCGGTGGCCGCGATAATTTCTCTAGTTTCTGAAGAATTTTCGGGACCCATGCTCTTTTCATACTGGATCAAGTGTGCCTTACAGAAACTGAAAAGTTCTTCCTATATCAAAAATATAGAAAATGTTATTTTGTTATAAAAAGGTTTTATTTTCTTTGCTGATCATTTTGAACATAAAAAATCACAAATCCATTGCAAAAAAAATAATTTCGTGAAAGTGAACTATTTCCTTTAAGGCATATGCGGCCAAAAACCGGTCGGCCGATGCTGTAAAGAGTGTCGAAAGGATGAAACGTGTCATGTACAGTGAGACGAGCGTGTCTGGCGCGAAGGATGACGAGCGCAGCACGATACCGAGTTCTGCGGGCGCTTTGGAGCGCCAAAGCCGCGCCAGAGTTCCATTTTCTCCACGGCAGGAGATAGTCATCGAGCGAGAGGCCTTGACACCTGTACATCGTCAAACAACATGTTCCATGATAGGTGGGAGGTAAGACTGGCAAAAAAGGCCGAAATCAAGTAGTCAAAAGCTCACAAGGCCCATGGCAAACGCAAGATGTTGAGAATTGGCCATTTGGGTCATGACATGACCTGAAAAACAAGGTCATATCTCCGAAACCAAAAATTACAGAAACTTGAAATTTTCAGTGGACATCAAGAAAGGATAGAGGAATACGAAAAATCAGCCTTCTAGCTCTAAAAATGTTGAGTGCAGAGCAGAAAGACTAACTGGGGGGGGGGGGGTGGCAACCCCCCCCCATGTGCGGGCGAGGGTTAAGGTCACAATCTCGTGTAAGTCAGGTCAAGATTGGAAAAAGCTCACAGGTGAGAGTTGGTGCTACATTATGCTTATATATTTATCCTTTGATTTAACCCGGCAGGCGGTGGGCCTACCAGCCACCTTCCGCGCGGTGGGGGGGGCATTTTTTTGCCCCCCCCCGTATCTCCGAAACTACTGACGGATCCGGAAAATTCAAACGGCGTTCGATAGCCCTGTCAAATTTGTCGAGGGAAACCAAATTTCATTGACCTCGGGGTCACCGATGACGTCACAGGTCAGGTCAAAGAGAAAATGTTTCACCGTTCACGGGGCTTCTAGGGAAAGCGCTACAACACCGAGTAAAACGCATTTTGTCGAAAATCAGCGATAAGGCGCCAGTTGTTTAGTACATATGTTGCTATTAGAGGTCACTGGTCATACCAGGTCAGGTCACAGGTCAGGTCACCAAAGGTCACCAAGGGTCACCACATGAGCCCAACTTTACTAAGGTTATGCGATGCATGTTTTATGGCCAGTTTTTCATTTCCAACTCAATGGTGTTGGTTATAAGACCATCAGGTACGGTTTAGGTCACTTTCTGGTGGAGGTCCTGGTCAGGTCAAGGTCAGGTCAAAAAAGGTCAAATTTCAAAGTTGATATTTTTGCATAAAATGGGTATCGATTCGATGCAGCTCGTCACGGGGAGTCTAATGGTGGTCTTTGTTTTGCTCTACGAGGTCTAGAATTGCTAAAAATTGAGTTTGAAAATTTGACATCAATTTTGAAGTTTTTTCGCTATAAGTTGGCCAGAAAAAGAGATATCGATCTCAAATTTGGTATGTAGATAGAAGGCGGTAGGGACTATCATATATATTCCGGTTTTTTTCGAAATTCAAAAAACATTTTGGATTTTTTGGCTATTATATTCAAAAATCTATATTATGATTTTTGGGGGTCAAAATAAAAAAAAAATCGAAAAACCGAAATAGCAGTTTTGTAGTCCTTTTGATTCCACACCTTTTATGTCTGAAACATTTTTCTGTATCTCTAAAGCTGTATGCCTCACAGCTCTTCCCGCGAAACCTTTTTTTGGGTCGAAAATGGCAAAAATGACGTCACTCTGACGTCATTAGCGGCCAACCTATCATAGCCTTTGGAAAATTTTTGGTCACCATGTGCACTAGCTGCTCCCGGGAGGGTACTAAGAGTTTGGTGACGATCGGCGCAGCGGTTCTCGAGATATATTGAAAAAACAAAAGGGGGAGCAAAAAATGCCCCCCCCCCCCCCCACCGCCTGGAAGGTTAAGATGGACGCAAGGAAACTACCGAACAGCGCCGCGGAAGCTGCTCCTCGCAGAAGACGCAGACGAAGAAACCCACAGCGGACGGCCATTATTCGTGGCATGGAAGAGATCTGACGAAACCCACAGCGGACGGCCATTATTCGTGGCATGGAAGAGATCAGACGAAACCCACAGCGGACGGCCATTATTCGTCGCATGGAAGAGATCAGACGAAACCCACAGCGGACGGCCATTATTCGTCGCATGGAAGAGCTCGGTGGGATCGTCGACGAACACATACAAGCCAGGGTGGTTTCTTTTAGAAGACACAACATAACGGTGGCGAGCATGGTTTATGACCGAGCCAACTCTACAGAAATAGCCCCCGGAAGCACGACGGGGAGGTCAATCACGATGACCATTGCTATGGCCTACAATACCCATCCAAGAACTGCTCCGGTTGTTTTTCAAACAGCTTGCGGTTAAGTCTAAGAAAGCACCATCGATTGTCTAATGATGACCCAAAGACTAAGCATGCAATATTCAAGCAACCCATTGCATGTCAATTCAGATATGATAGTTATCGGTGCATCTTTGAAACATAATTTTCTTTCGCAGGAACGCCGACGCAGACGGGGACGCCGCCGAGGGCGGCAGCGGGGACGTCGCTGCCACCAATGTCCAGGAGGCAACGTCAGTGAACGAGCAGGCCGAAGACGTCAGTCACAGCTTCACTGGTAACGGCCTCCAGGGCGCCACTTTGGGCTTAGTTTGGCTTTGCACCGCAATTAACGGTTAAATGTAATTGAAAATGGATTAGTAAGAGTACATCCTAAGCCAGAATACGATGTTCTACAAATCTAGAGTATTTCTAATTGTGATGGCATTACAGACTACTCCGCCAACCCAAATAAGGCATTCTGTCGGACGTGGACTGCGCGCGGATGAACTCGACCACCTCAGCTCCCCCACCCGCCCCCCATGGATGCCGGTTCCACCAGCGGAGGGGACGGGACTCGGGCCGGCTAATGTCAACACTGGCCGGCGCCCGGGAGGCGAAGGAGGCCCGCTGCCGCCGGCCCGCTCACCGCGGGTGTCGTGGCGGACGGCGGGTCAGACGCGCCAGGGGAGGAGGAGGGGGCTGCGGCCATGGCAATCGAGTCCGTGTGTATAG